CAGCCGGCGGAGCCGAGCCAGACTCGCAGCGACCCGACTCGCCGGATGACTTCGGGTCTGCAGTTGATTGAGGCGGGCGCGAGCTCCAACAAGCGCTGCGTGCTGGGGACGAAGATGAGAAGCTCCAGCAGTGCCACAGCCCCACTGCTGTCGTGGGGTTGTCAGCACCAGGCGGGTGCTGGCTGCCCTGAGAGCCTGTGCCCTCTACAGCGGAACAGAATCCCACGGCTCCATGGAAACTCGGTTGTCAACAGTGCTTTCTTTGCGTGCGTCCTGGAGGCTGCAAGGTTGAGTATGTAAAGGGGGGTGAAGAGAGACCTGGAAAACTTCCCCGGAAGAACTGCACACGAATTGCGGGTGCTCGAAGAGACGGTGGAGCCTAGCACAGGTTTTCCACATTACTGACAGCGAGCGTTAAGGACCCAGGCGTGGATCCCTGTTGAGATGGTGGAGGACTGGAAGAACGGGTGTGTGAACCAAGGAGAACTAGGCAAAAGGAAAGCGAATGAATGACAAGGCCGACACACTGGCACAGCCAACATTTGGGGAAGAAGGCCACTTCCCAAGAGTAGTGTACGTAGTTCGCAACTAATAAATAATATAGCAGGGAAACGTTAAGCTCTTGATGCCAAGGGGACCATGTGTTAACACGGAGGGAACTCGAGGTCTCCTTTCGCTGTGGTCAGAAACTCGGGGGTTGTCTGGGCCAGTCCGATCATCTCTGCATGTGTCAGTTTCTTCCTCACTGCAATATTTTATTAGATAGTTTCAAAGGTTTTTGTTGTTGTAGTTGTTTGTGGTTCTAACATTTTACAATTCTAACTGCCCAGTTTGAGCTAAACTTCCAGCCAGTAAGACGTGTCTGGAGTGAATCTGATAGATCTCAAGAGATCATATTTGCCAAAGACATTGAAAAACTGGCCAGTTATTTCTACCCGGGCTCTGCCTGCCCCTGTCCGTTGTCTTCACCTGCTTCAGCTTCCTCATACCAACATATACTGCTATTTTGCTGGAAGGGTAGGTTTGGAGTCGGTCTGCCTGCATTCAAATCTTAACATTTCCTGCTACTCCCTGGCTGATACTGAACAATTAGGCTAAGTGCTACTACTTCCTAATTTGCAGGGTGGGTCCATTAGCAGTAACTATCTTACGTGGTTTCGTAAAGATTAAATGACTTAAACATTTGTAAAATGTCTGACACATAAAATTGTTAACTGCTATTCTTACCATTGGTGGAAATTCCCATCGGCCTCATGGTATCTAGACCAGCGCTATTCAACAGAGCTTTGGATGATGAGGAACATGTTTGTGTCTGTAGTTATTAGACACATGGCCTGAGTGGTTACAACCTGACAATTGTGAATGAAAGAATTTAAAGCTAATTTACAAAATACCGTAAATACCATTGGCGGTACAGGTAGGCCACTAAGAACTTGCCCACTGATTTGAGAATGACATCATCAAAGAGATTATATGTTGCAGTTATCTTTATAAGGACAATCGCTTAAATAATAAGAAAAACCCTACATGTACTCTGTTGACAACATCCAAAATTATTTGTTTATTCATTTAGTTTTATTGACTCTCTTCTAATGATACTTTAACTCTTTTAGCATAGAGACCTAGCCTTGTATTTCACCCTCAGCTTCTAACATAGTGTGATATATAGATAGTGCGCAATCAATATCGGGTGATTGACTGCCAAAAAGGCCCCACGGGGAAGAACCCCCAAGGTTTACAACAGTTAAAGAAGGTTGAAACTGTCACCTACTCCTGTTTGGAACATTGAGGTGCTTAATGACCGTTACTTCATGAAATGAATTCCTTGAAAGAAAGAATAAGAGGCAGGACAGAGAAAGTCATTTGATACTGAAATTCGGCCTAAGGAGGGCAGAGAATGGTTTGAGAAGTGGTATGTGGAGTTGAGGTGGCAAAAGGAGAGAGTAGCCCAAGATGGAGGACAGCCAGGGCATGAGCACACAGGATAACTAGTGTCCGGCTTGTAGGTGGAATTGGCCTTGTGTTTCAATAGCCTACCTAGCTTTTATTGATTGTCACATTTTTTTTTTTCCCTTATGAGAAAGGTAACACCACGTTTCATAGGTTTCTGGGCCTAGGTTTGCCATATCACTCAGCTATGGACTCAAATGTCACTGCTTAGAAAGGCCTTCTCTACCAACTTGCCTAAAATAGCAGCAACCCATCACCCTGGATTGCATTCACCTGCTTTGATTTTCATAGCACCTATTTTATATATTCACATTTAGGTATACATATACTATATACATATACAATAGGTACACATATACTATTTAGGTACACATATTGTATATGTGTAAGTACACATATTGTATATGTATATAGTATATGTGTACCTAAATGTGTATGGGTATATGTATATATACTCTCCAATAAAATATATGCGTGTCAAGGGGAGGGTCCTTTATTTTTTATTGATAGTATGTCTAACAGTCTATATACAGTATCTAAACAGCCTGGGACATAATAGATGATCAATAAATGCTGATTACATATCGAGTACAGGAATGAGAGCTGATGGAGTTTTACACTGAACAGAGCCTTGATTATCTGCCCCAGACACATTTTTAAATTATGAGTAGTCTTTTTTTAGTTGTTGAATAAAATCAAGGGTGGACAAATTATCACCCCAAATTTATCTGAATATGACTTTTTAGAGTTGGAATACTGCAGGCGTTTAAAGAACAAACATGAAATTCATCCCATTTTGAAAAATAAAAAGCTCCATTTAAGCCCATGTACAAGGGCTTCCTTTTTCTTGGCTGCAGCAAGTGGAGTATTAACTCTGGGATAATAAATCCCAGTGACAGGTGCTAATGGGAATTAAGCATGCAAATCCCCTGCATATCCCTCCAGAAATCTACACCCAGAAAAGTATGCTATTTAGTGTGTAGGCTGCTTAGTAATAATATTATTTACTTTAAACTAGTATAGAAAAAGTTTCCAGCTAAGGCTTAAATATAAACAACTGAACATACATTTTAATTATAGAAATGCTTTCATTTTTATCTGTCCTTAAATGTTTGATTCCACACTTTTTGTATTTTTATGTGATTTTACGAATGTCTTCATGCCAGAGATATTATTAACACACAACATAGAAAAAGGAGTATTTTAGTGAATAAATCAGATGGTGCTAAGGAAAACTCTTTTCCTAACTAAGGGGGGAGGAGCAGAGACCTCGGATAACATACACATCAACTAAGGAGAGCCAGATGGTCCAAACTCAGTTGATTCAATTGTCTTTCCATACCTCAGCCCAAAGAAAAAGATTTGGCCTGTCATAAACATATATACCCTGGGGCTTTATGCTTTTTATTAACTGTATTAGATAAGACTCGTTTGGATGCAAGTGAAAGGAACCCAACTCAAATCAGCTTAAGCAAAAAGAGGAGTTACTACTAGATGCAACTCCAAGGCCATGGATAAACAAATAATCTATATTAATTAAAGCAAACATTTATTTATCACCCACTGTGTATCAGGCACTATTCTATGCTCTTTATAGGTGCTATTTTATTTAATCCTTGATGAGAATTAAATTAACATACTATTATTTTCTTAGTCTGTTTTGTGTTGCTGTAACAAAATATTACAGACTAGGTGACGTATAAATAACAGATAATAATTTCCTCAATGTTCTCGAAGCTGGGAAGTCCAAGATTGAGGTGCCCAACACCTGGCAAAGGCCTTCTTATTCCATGGCAGAAGAGCAACAGAGTGTGGGGAAACGATGAGTGGGCTCAGACTCAATCTTTTATAAGGAACCCACTTCTACAATGATGCACCCACTTCCACAATGACAGCATTAATTCCTTCATAAGGGGTGGGCCTGTGTCCTAAACACCTCCCTTTAAGTCCTTCCTCCCAACACCTCTGCCTCGGGGATCAGGTTTATAGCACACGAACTTTGGAGGACACATTCAAACTATAGTAACTATTATCCTCACTTTGCACATGAGGAAATAGTGGTTAAGTAATTTTGCCTAAGGCCCACACCGTTTGTGTTTATTAGTGCCAGTCTGATTTAAGGGATTGTGTTCTTGGCCCAAGAACTTAAATACCACATGCAGAGCTTGGCCCTTCTCATCCTCAATTTCTTTGTTATGGTTCGCCTCTCTAGCTCCATTCGCAGACTTGTGATCTCACGCTACGATTCGTGGCAGATCCTGGTTTACGTTGAATTTACCCTCACCAATCGACTGGCCAACAAAATCCCAGAATGATGTCCCCAGCCTATCTTGGGTCAAATACTGAGGCGATGACAATGGCCAGAGTGTTGGAAAACACTCAAAGGGAAGGATGAGGTTATGTGTCAGATTTTGGCAGTGGAAACTTGGATTGAGAGTAGGGAAAAGGGCTCTACAAATGGAAAATTAATACTGAGAAAGAAGATTAATATAAAAGAATGGATGTCAAGAGAATGAATGTCAGACAAAATGACAGATCTCTACTCTGTAGTGTATGGACAGAATGAATTCTTTCTCATGCATAGTTCTGTGTTGTAACCCATCACTATAGCAAATAAAGAGCTTTGGTTAAGAAGGACAGAAGAATGGCCATTCCCTTATAGATCGCCTTTTCCAGGTAATTGACTGGTAGAATTGAGTCCAATTCAATTGAATGAAGAAAACTTTTACTTAGTCCCTATTGTAATGAGGCTCCATTGCAGGATTCTGGAAGAAAAATACACACAAGTAATAGTCATTGTATACGAAGAACTCATAATCCAACAGACTAGTCTAACATAGAGGAATAAACAAAAAGATTCTAATTAAAGATGAAATGTTGTAGGAATATCAAGATATGAGGAAGTTTTATCTAAGGAAGTCTGGCAGAAGAGCATCAGAAGACTTGAGCACTCACACTGGTGATGCTCTGTTTCACCCAATGGGTGTCTTTCTCTCTTAACGGGAAGACATCTGGGAGTGGGCAGACCTGGCCACTTTGGACTCAGTTATGCTCTTGTCATGGCTTCACTCCGTGTTCCACTATCTGTGTCTTTCCCTCCCACAATTGCTTATGGCTTTTCTGCATCTAGGCACCATGTTCACTTTATAGGAAGGAAGAAGAAGAAACAGGCCTAAGGGGATGCGAATGCTGACCAGATCATTTATGTTGGACACAAGTCTATCAGAAAATAGAAACAAGAGGAAGGCATAGAAAGAAATTAAGAAAAGAAATGAGAGACCAGTGGATTGTGTAATGGTTATGTCGCTGAACTCCTACATAGTTGACTATGGTTCGAGTCCTAGACCCGGAGGCTTAAAACTCATACCAGCTGTGTGTGCATGTGTGCCCAAAAACCTAAGAGGAGAATGGAAAAGGGACTGTGGTCACCCCACCCCAACCGTACCCCC